AGATATAGTTACAAGTTGGCTTCTATCCTTTGTGGATAACATGAGCACTTTCGAAAAATGGTGAGCTGTCAGCCTAAAATGACGTCATGAAATCAGGTGAGGGTCACCATGATGGTATATAGATTGCTATCGTTCATTCCATACGCCCTCCCGTTCCCCAATGACCTACTAGAATCAGAGTATGGCATGGTCAGGCACCCGAGGAGGAGCTTCAAAGGCTAATGAAGGATCTCCATGTCCCGTACCTAGAACACTTGCATTCATCCAGAAAAAAAGGCCCACAAATAAGGTATCTAGAGTTTCCAGAGATGGTTTCCCGAAAATCATTTTGAATTCAATTAATACCATTATTTTAGAAATATGTATGATTTTTGTAATATCAAATTTATTTTACACTTTTTTAAATTTATGAGAATAGCTGATTAAATTACTGGATTTATGATCATTAGCATAAAAATGATGACATTCAGATAATTTATTGAATCAAAAAACCACACATAAATCTAATCCATATAAGTATATTATATGATTAATGATTATATAAAAATAAATCCAGGCTCTTATAGATCTAAAAATTATTTTTAAAAGAGCTAAAATTCTTAGAGAGAGAGAGAAAGTTCTTTAAGGGAATTGATTTATATAATTAAAAGAAAGAGTATGAAGTTAGAGAAGCAAAAACAATAAAAGATGTAATTTATCTTGTTGAAAAGTTTATTGGAATAGAATGCGCGGTTAAGTTGCTGCTATGACTTATAAAGTTAAAATATTATCGTGTTATATCAAAATACGATCACATTAAAGATTGGATTGCAAAATATTTAAAAAATTCACAAGGACTTCGTGTTTTTTTGTCAATCAGAGTTAATCATATAACAAAATTGTTACTTATCATTTTTTATAATCTAAGATCGTTTTTACTATTTTAATTATTCTCACAAATTCCAAAATCATCTCAACTCAAATTTCTAATTGTCTTTACATAAGGTTAACATAAAATATCTATTTTATAAATCTGAATCCACCCTCAATCATAAGTACACATTTCCATGCTAAAAACGGATTGTTTATTATTTGATTCTTTCTTGGTATAGTTTCATTTACAAATTAGGCAAACTAAATGCAAATAGTTCAGTTTGAGATATAATCTCTTTGTCATCATTTGATCGAATAAATTTAAATGAAATATTAAAAATTTTACAAATCAAATGTTTGTTTTGTACTAAACAACAGTATTATACATCTTACATAGTGATAACATATTACAAAATTTGAATAAAAATTTAATTTTCTTTATTATCATAAGAATTGTTAAGTCGGTTATATTAAAATATTTAGTGTAAAACCCTCTTATTTAGAAAATCAATTTCCAATACAACCATTTTATTGGTTTTGAATTTATTCAAACTATGTAAAGCAGCACCTAAACAATGATGTTGATCAATTAATTACCTTTATTGTTCCAAGCACTTTCATATTTAGAATTTATGGCAATGGCTTAATCATAACAATCGATTGCTTCGTTGAATTTATTCAAATTCCTTAAAGCAAATCCTAAACAATGATGTTGATCAATTAATTACCTTTATTGTTCCAAGCACTTTCATTTTTAGAATTTATGGCAATGGCTTAATCATAACAATCGATTGCTTCTTTGAATTTATTCAATTTCCTTAAAGCAAATCCTAAATAAATTAACCTTACAGAAATTACCTTTCCATGTGTACACATCTGAATTATCATTAATTAAACTAATTGATTTATTGAATTCAACCAAAGCTTATTCATATTATCCTTTATTACATAAGTTTTTTCCTAATATTTTTATATTAAATAATACCTTCCTAATATATTGTTTCAAAATTTATAATCTATTCTTTTTAATTTACTTATTTTTCATCTCCAACCTTTAGTGTATTCATATTACTTTCCTTTTAATCTGGAACACATTTTTAAACAATTTGTATTTATTCCTTTTATTACTATAATTTATTCTCTTTTGAACATAAAACTGTAATTTCTTAAAGTAATTCATTAAGTTTCATTCTTTTTTAAGGCTGAATGAGTAATATTTTGGATATAATTTATTTTTGTATAGAATCTATGTTTTAATTTTTATTAATATTATTATTCAATTGAATTTAAGTTAATTCAGTTAGTTCTATGAATATATAATGAAATAAAGTACTAAAAATGTCTAAATATCCACATAACATTTAATACCATATGACACCAAGAGACCAAAGATCTGCTGATTAGTCATACTAAATTCCATTTTTAACTTCTGGTGCCATAAAATAATCAGTTCCAACTCCTTAAGTGTGTTTACTATATTTAGATTCTTTTGCCAGCCCAAAATCAATCAATTTTATTTATATTGATTAATTTCCAGAACAACATATAAAATTATCTGGTTTTAAATCTCTATGGATATAATTTAAGCTATGAAACTCTTCAACTCCCAAAAGTATCTAATTAATATTATTTCCAACTTACTTATAAAAATAACTCATTTTTATATTCTTTAGATTATTATTAATAATTTTCACTTTCCATTAATTTTTTTAAAGACTATTCTCCATACTCCATAATTATAATATCTTAACCATTTTTTTTAGTAAGATCTATTATTTTAATGATGTGATTAAATTTGCTAGATTTAATTTTTTCCAATAATTATTGTTCTGATTCTCCTAAATTTTAATTAAGATATTTGGCTGCTAAAATCTCACCTGATTATTTATTTTTAATTGAATAAACTTAACCTTCTGCCCCACATGACAAGAAATCCATTTTTTTAAAAAGAAATTTTCCATCCTATTTCATTCTAAATAATTGTATTTCTATTAAAATAAATATTCAAAATTTTTAATTAATCAATATCGATAATATTACTTATTATAAAAAATAGCTCACTAATTTTAAAAAAAATAGAACACCTTCAATTTAATTAAACTTTAAATTGGATAGTTGAGAAAATTTAGTAATATTAAACAAAATAGATGATAATACTAACGATTCTGTTAAACACATATACTTTTATTTAGCTTTTTCTCTACTGCAAATTTTTATATCCTTTCTACTCTTAGAAATCCTGGCATGGATTTATCTACTGCTATAACTTTCATAGAATTCATGGGATTATCTTGTGATTTGATTATATAAACTGTAACTAATTCAGAACAGTATCCATCATCCTTTACTAAAAGAGTGGTAAGCATCACGTAGAAATACATAGCAACTTTGTTGAATTTACCAATTATTTTTAGCTTCAGATCTACAATTATATCTATTTTAATGCATATTAAATCTTCAGCTAAACTGTAAGTTTTGCAATCAAAAGGCCTGGGACGTGTTGAATTACCAAAATATTAAAAGGATTGTTTGATTCACTATTCTCATGAATTTCATGTAAGTTATCTCTTTAATTGGAAAAATTATCACATAATTGTAATGGATAATTTTTTCACATTAGTTAAAGAATACTGTTTTTAGAATGATAAAGATTTAAAAATTAATGTAATAAAAATGGATCTGTTTCTTTAATTTTTAGTCATTATTCATTTATCTAAAGATTTAATTATTAATACTTTGATTTATTATGAATTTTTAAATAAATTAATCTACATTTATATAAGAATGAAAATTGGCACGTTATACTTTTTATTATCATTATATCGTTAAAATCCTTAAGGATTTTCTAAATCATTTTAAAAAAAACTCTCTAAAAAAGCGAATAAAAATCTTACATTAATATTGAACAATAAAAATTTATTTTTTGGAAGCTTTAAATTGCCTTTTTAGTATGCATTTGCTGGAGGCACAGATGAACGTTTATTTATTACTATATTGATTGATCCTTGTATTATCATTTCTTAAGGTTAAGGGGATGGAACTACATTTAATTTATTAATAGATTCTAGATCTGGAAATTAAAAATTTCTAGATTCAGGCTGAAATTCTAACATATTGAATATTCTTCAAAATAAAGATCAAGGTTGATAATTCATTTTTGGATTTCTTAGTCTTCTAAATAAATTTTCATAATTATTTTGCAACTAATCTACTTTTTACTTAGTCTTAAATAATTTATTTGATAATACAAGGTCGTCTTATTAACCAATCTAGAAATCTGCAATTTAAACATTAGGCAATTTTATATTATCTAAAATTAATCATCTTTCTATTTACTTTACAATAACTATTACTCTTTAATCTAAGAATTTAATCCTTCTTGATAATTTTGCCTTTTATTTCATTCAATTCTTTATTATATTATACTATTTATCTAATAATTGGAAGGTAATTTTTAACCCAAAGTATCTGTAAGGCCTAAAAGTTAACTTTTATATCTTTTAAAGTAACTAATTTTGGATAAATAATTTGCGCTGATTCTCAATGGAGTTAGGGAACCTTATGTTTGATTTAAAGAAATTGATGTAAACCTTTTTCCCATTGCATATTTTCCTTATGTACAACTCCTGTATTTTGATAATCAACTATTCTAATATTATCATTATCAATTTTGTAATTTACACCTTCAAGGAGATTAAACTTTGCTTAAATAGCACTTTCAATCAAAATCTTTTCATAAAGTTGATATAATTTAAACGAAATTAAGGAATAAAATTTATTAAGCATCTTAACTAATTATTGAGTTTTTTTCAATATATTCGTCTAGGTCAACAACTAAATTGCCATCATACCCTCTGGATCGGAGTCAAAAGGTTTGGCTCTACTTTACAAATTTAATCCCATATCAATCCAAGAATAATGCTTAAATCAAGCATTCCTGGAATAGGAGAAATTAGAATTGTCTTATTATTATTACCATCAATAAGCATGGAATCAACTTTATCAACAATAACATATCCTTATTATCTATTTCCCATCGTTCCTAATTTTGAATATTCATGTCTTAATATATCAGCTTAGAAACTATGTGTATCTCCATATATAATTTGACAATCATAACATGGAAGCTTTTTCTCTCTCTAATTTGATTCATGTATATTATGAGAGACAGATAATTAAAATAATTTATAAAAAGGACTTAATTTTTGAGCATCTATTATTGACAACACTGGAGAACTATTACTATGTCAACATTTGTCTTTTTCTTTTTACATAATAATAAGGTCAACATCGATACTATTAACGTTTTCCCTTCTCCAGTATATATCTAAGCTAAACATCCCTTATTATTATCATGATTATATAATTCTATTACGGATAATACATAAATAAAGTAAATCTCCATATTCTAATAATGGTGATTGTTTAAAATCAATACATATGATTAATTTTATTTGACATCTTGTTATAGATTTTATTATTTTATATTTGATTGGTGACTTATTCCTGATATTATTCTATAATTTGTATGATATTTTATTCTATAATTTGTTTATAATTTATTAGATATTTTTTTGAGAATTTATTAGGGAACTTATTAGAGATCTTCTATTTTCTAACATGTTTATCCGTTATAGGATCATTAAATAATTCTTGTTTTAATTATTTTTATTATTCAATAAGAGTATTAATTAATAATTCTTATTCTAATTATTCCTATTATTTTTATGACAATATCGGAAGTGTATCCCAATTGAAAGACACACCAAAACTTTCTAATAAAATTTTTGATTGGTCTCCAAATTAACATTTTCAAGTTTTGTTCTTTAAACATTTGTAACAACAAATGTAAACTAAAATCTTCTTAATTGAGTTTATTTATTTTTATCAACATAGCTTTTAACATATGGGCAATTATTTAAATTAACCCAAATCAAACCGCAATTATAGCATTATTTAACACGGTCACCTAAAGGAAGTTATATTTAGGATCTACAAGTTTAAGCTTTTTGAATTACTTCATTTACGCTGTTCATTAATTGTATCTTCAATTATATGTCTTTTAACAATTTCCATATTATTCAAATAATTCTTCAAATGTCTTAGAATGTTATTATGTAAATTCCATCACTATTAAATGAGCATTGCCTATAATAGTTAGACATAGTTCATAAATTTATTAAACTATATCTTATTCTTAATTCTTTATCGATTATTCAATAAAATTGCAAGCTTCATCACAAATTTATTTAAATTTTGACTCTATTTCAATTGTATCAATCTCGTTCTTTGTTTTTATAATTTCAAGTTGCCCCAATATATTGGTTTTAAATAAATCAATCTCTTAATTTTATTCATTAGTAATAAATCATATCTATTTATTTACAAATAGAATTTCCTTCAAATAAATAATTTTTCAATTTTAGTGATTCAATTATTTTATTTTTTATATTCTATTTCTCAAATTCTTCATTTTATTTTTCTAAGTCCCAATGAGATATTATTAGTATCAATATTTACTCATATTCCATTAGTATCCAATATTGTAGCTAATTGTACTTTATTTCTGACCTAAAGAAACTCATATATTGATTCCTTCTTATTTCTCTGCAAAAGAGGAGTTTTATTTAATACTATAAATATTCACAAAAAGATTAATGATAGTTTTTAGATTTAGACCTCCAATCTCAAAATTATTTCAGAGAAATTTGTATTATTATAAATCGTTCAAAAAATTCACATCCTCACAACTTATTAATTGATTTTGATTTTAATTATAATTCTTAATATGAATAAAGATTAATGAATTATACTAATCAACTTTTAAGTTTATGATAATCTCTACTGACTATTTCAGTCCAAGCTTTTTCTAGATCTGCTACTAAAAAGTTACTTTTTAACTCAGATTTAATAAGACTACTATTAAATTCATTAACAATCATTTATAAAGTAATAGGATTCTTATCTTCAGTACAGCAATTAAGAAATATTCTTGCTCTCTATTACTCTGGAAGCATAGTAAATTATTAAATTTCTTATTTTGGATACTCTCCTGCTCCATCAGTATAAAATAATATTTCAGTTCTATTGAAATAAATAAGTGTTACTTTTCGAATGCATAATTTTAATGTTTGATTATCAAATCATATGCCTTTTAAAAGGCATCACAAAAATTAGTTTCTCCACTATCATAATCAATCTTTTATTCGCATTAATCTATATCAACTATTTCACAGTCAACAATAATTCTAGCTTGATAGTTAAAAATGATTACACTCACTCTTGCATTACTATTTTTAGATATTTCTTTCATGCAATATAAACAACTTTTCTTTGCTTTTATCCATCTTTTACCTAGCATAGAACCAGAATCA